GGACGAGGGCAAAAGAAAAGAAAAAAAGCAAATAGATATTTACTGTCATAAACATTTGATGGAGCCTAGCCAATTCTTTTTCTTTTCCTTTTTATTGGATTTGGGGTTRCATTCAAAGAGCATCCTCTGAATTTTCCAATACCCAATATCTATTGTAAAAGCAGAATTTATCTAACTCTTGGGATGTTCAGAACCTTGATTGAACACACAAATACTAGTGTTGTAACGTAAAAATTTCTCTTGCTCAAGCTTGCTGGATTTTGCTTTAAGTATCAAAATAAACTTTGGTAACATCAAACACTAACCAAATTTCTTTCTGCTTCTGCCATTCCTGAATAYTGTGCACTAAGCCCTACCTCTTTTGGCATCTATACTGCACTAAAGCAGCCTTCTGCCTTCACCTGAATTTTTGTCTTCTGTGTTGATTCAGATTTCCCAAAAGCATCCATAAATTTATTAGCTCAAAACTAGATTAAAGCCTTGCTCTCCAGTTACAGCCATAGCTAATTGGTTAGTTATGTTGCTTCCATCACTGATGATTTGGTTAATCATTCCTTTCAGAAATTCCTCAAGACAGACAAATATTAATTTGAAGACCCTTTTTGGATTCACTTTGAATCTGGCTTGTCACCTGTTCTTCGACAAATGCTGTGTGAGTTTATGATGGTCTCAGAACGATCCTGCATTAAAACCAAGATCTGATCCAAAAGCCTGAATGCAGCTGGATCTCAACTAAAGGAGTGCTTTACCGAGTATTTCAGACTGTACAGTGCAGTAGTTACAATTAAATTCTTTAGTGGGAACCTAATGTGCAAGTGTTGTAGTAGCACACAATACAAYAGTATTTTAGTATGTTCTTCACACTTACTACCTTTCCAGAAGTCTGCTCTTGGAGAAAATAAAACAAACAATAAACAAACAAACAAAAAGTAAACTAAATATCTACTGAACTGTGGCCAAGAACAGTCATTTCAGCCTGAATTAAACTTAGCAGTTTAATAAGCACAGCCCTTTACAACTTGACAAAACAATTTTTCTCTTTCTTTCCTGGAGTGACAACTCATAAGGCTTTGCACAAAGCCTCTGCGCTGCCTCAACCCCACTGGAACTTCATGACAGAAATGTCAACCGGAGGTATAAGCTGCAGGATCTGACTGCCACTCTGTGTGACCCTCCTGGATCCTCCGGGATGAAGGCTCTTGCTCGGCCTCTCTCACAGGCCGCTGCCAGGCTGAAAGCCCTGTCTCTTGCTTGCCRAGCCGCAGAGCTGCGCGTTGCTCCTTGCCACACGCTGCCAACTGCATCAGCAGCCACAACAGCTCGACCGCGGTCGGCCGTGGGAGCCAGCGGTTTTGCTCCACAAATGTCGGCTCTGGTCTGGAATTTGCTGTTTGTTCCAGTGGGCAGCGCAGGTGAAGCCATTAGCACCAGGCATTGCACTGTATTCCTGAAAACAAAGTACATCCGACTACTTAGCATTTTTCAAGGATTGATAAAATTTTAGTAGGAGAATTACATAAGTGAAAACTATATATTTAACTATAAGTAACATTGAGAAAAGGATATTCTGCCATTTCATAAAAGCGCTGTAAGCTTCTGCCTGTTAAATGCCATTGAAATCTGTTTCTTAAAACTATATGGCAATGGGTTTGAACCAATGAATYAGCATGGATACAGCAATCACTTGAGCTATCTGGACAGCAAAAATAAGAAGTAATCCTAACGTGTAAAATATCATGATTTGTATTGTCTAAAATGACAGTAAAGAACATGTTGGGAAACAGATCAAAAGTCATTGTCTTTTTTTTCAGTAAAGCTGGCAAGGAAAGAGTAAAGGTTATGCTAAATTGCTCAATGAAAAGATAAAACACAGTCTTAGAGAAATTAAGTCCTCTAAGTGTCATAGTAAGTACTGCTTACATTTTATAGATGGATAAGTACACAAAGATAAGTAATCACAGATGATCAGACATGGTCAATAAAGATGAAGTTTTGGAACCTAAAGGTTGTTTCTGTTTCATTTTGGTATTGAATCTGTGTAAACAGAATGTTAGATTCTTAGTTAYAGTATATGAAAATAGTCTGGCTTGAATTTCATATAATACTTCTGCGGTAAACAAAAATTGATCTAAYAAAAGAAAAGCTTTTAATTTTCAGACACTGTAAAAGTTTAGTTCTGATAAACAGGCCAGTTTAAATTCCTAAATGGTTTTGTGTCATTAGTTCCATGGGATAAAATTATATAACAGAAAAACAGCCCAGATTTTTTTTTTCACAGTGTAAGGAAGTATAATTAACATAGAAAACCAGAATATTAATAATCTTATTAATGATTATGATAAGCCATAAAATTGTACCAGGTGTTAATTTCTTTAAACCCAACACAAATAATGTAAAAGACAGTTATTCTCCATAAAATACCATACAGCTATAAGCTGGTAAACACAGTCTGTTCAGAATAGATCATATTGACTGATCGTGCCTGTTTAATCCTATTTTTTGTCCTGAGCTGGCTAATTACTGCACACCCACGCCTCAACCTTACAACTGGATCTGTGCATGCAGACCTCTGTTCTTGAGTAAGGTTCTTTTTAATTAAATTACACTATATACTCCTTTAAAACAAACYAACCACCTTACAAAAGAGTCTTGTGAAACAAAATATAACCGTTCAACACAGTTACTGGCACCTAGGCTATAGACAGCACCTTTACATGACTCCACTAAAGTTGCTGCAGATATAAAACCGACACCAAATAGGAACATAGTAATTTAAAGGAAGTGGAAAAGGAGARCAAGGAACAAGCTAAACCACCAGAGAACAAACAGAATAAAAAAAAACAGAAATTAGTAACATCAAGCGAACAGTTAACAATAAAAACACAACAATAACAACAATAATGCAGAAAGTAGGAATTCAACTCCAAGACCAAGTTTGCCTTGTAGCAGTGTTTTCTGTCATGCCCTCCTTAAAACTCTTTCCCTACCTCTCAGGAAGGAAATGTTTAATTTTTTCTTTCTTTCTGCTGTTCCCTACTGGTGTTATAAACAGTTCACAGGCCCTATCATAATATATTTATTTTCTTTTCCTGCCACACAATCTATTAACATTTTTGCTGGCCTTGTGAATTCCAAGAGGAAATTAATTTAGCCTTCTTGACTGGAGCACAACTTAGATTATTGCTGGTGAAACACACCTGTTTCTATAGCATATATACTATCACAGAAGAACCTTGATAGCTTGACATTATTTTAAAATTACATATGTACATGTAAGCTAAGCATCCCTGACGCTTTTGTGCAGCTCATGCTGTAACATTACACCTCATGCTGCAACAGTCTGTTCCTTGTCACCAACTGATAAATGCCTTCTGACTTGAAGCATGGAAGAAAGCTAGTTGAAAAATAACCCAAAAAAAAAAAAAAAAAAAAAAAAAAAAAAAAAAGATTTTTTTTTTTGATGTCACATAAATTCCCCAATCCATTTTACTGGCGGACCATGTGAGCAGCTATGCTGGCAAAGACAGACTGACTGGTCACAAGTCAGAGCAAAGAAAAAGCAGGAAGGGGATGAAGGACAGCAGCGACTTGCAAYCAGAGACTTCATACCGTTCCGTGGAAAAGGCTTCGCTCTGCTCTCAGGCAGCATGCGTGACCCTCGGCGCTCACCCCCGCGAACGCCAGGCTGCCACGTCAGGGTGCGTGTCCCAGGACGCCCAATCCACCCGTTTCCGCGGCGTCCCTCGGGGAAGACACGTGTGCATCACTCAGCGTGCTGAACTCGCTGCCTGCTCTCCGGGCACGAGAACGGCGTGCGGTTCTACCTGCTCCCCTGAGAGAAAAGGTTTCCCAACGCGTTCAGTGGAAAGGCCCGCCAGCAAGTGACAGGACACGCAATGCTTGGCAGGGCTGGCATCTTAGTCATGTTGGGATCGCCTGACGGAGCCGGGATCAGGGACTGTAACTACCAGAGGCCTCTGCAGCAGGCTCAGTGCTGCACCCTGTGAACCCGCGGTGATTCAGGCGCACAACACATCCACGGCCTCCCGAAGAGGCTGCTGCCCTGTGCTCTGGCAACGTTTTAGTGCAGGCCCTGAACGAGTGCAAAGCAAGACACACGCCCGGTCTGCACCAAAGCGCTCGCATTTCAGGGACACCAACCCCGCAAGCGGCTTTGGGAAGCCCGCGTATTTGTACCCTGCCCCTGGAGGTGCCTGGGGACACCCGCGGGACAGGCAGCGCCGGCCTCTGCCGAACTTGAAACGCCGCCATCCCTCCCACAGGCCGCTCCAGCCTCCCGTTCCCGGCGGGATGTGGCGGAGCAGCAAGGCGCGTGCGCGGCTCCACGTGCCATTGGCACCAACCCTTCACGCCGCATCTCCAGCCCCGCGGCAGTGCCGCTACGGCGGCGTCCCTCGCGGCCCCACGTCCCTCGCGGCCCCACGTCCCTCGCGGCCCCACGTCCCTCGCGGCCCCGCGTCCCTCGCAGGCCTCTGTCTGCTCCCCGCCACAGCTGAAGGGCTGCCCCAGCCCCAGCCCTGTGACCCATGCCTTCTGCCGCGGCTCTGCTCCTGCCCACAACGGGCAACGCGCTCAGGGAAGTCCCCGGCTCGGCTCGCAGCCGGSCGAGGAGCCTCGCGCGCCTCCCCCTGCCCCGCCAGCAACCGCCGCCGCGGCGCCAACCGCCGCAACGGCCCTAACGGCCGCGCCCCCCGCGCGCCTGCGCCGCGCGCT